CCTCCCTCTTTTCTTCTTTCTTCTTTCTTCTTTCTTCTTTCTTCTTTCTTCTTTCTTCTTTCTTCTTTCTTCTTTTTTCTCCATTTATTCTTCCAAATTTTTGAGCCGAGAATGAGAAATGGTAAGAGGTTCCTTTCTCTCCTACTTGTCTTTACAAGATGGAGGCCCCTTTGTATCTTTCTTTTACCTCCCCTGTCAAAGCTGGGAAAACTGATAAATCATGGAGGATCATCCTCTTCTCCATCTTGGGTTAATCCAATCAGGAGTGTCTGCAGGGTATGGTAGAAAAAGTCAAGATGGCTGTGATGGTGCAATCAAAGTTCTGCCTTTAAAAAGGTGTGTTGCCCCCTTGATTCCAAGAGGGGAGGGAAAACCTCCCTATACTCAGAGACAGGTCACTCGTGTTTGCTTTCTGAAGCTTCTGTGATCGGACGTGGTTCAGAGAATGAGGTGGCCATATCATTTTGGAAAGGTCTCTTTCCTTTGAAGTTGGGCACCAATGAACTCTTGAAATTTTCTACCAGATTTGTGGGCAAAAAAATAAAAAATGGATGGAGCATTCCTCAGAATTCATCCAAGGGAGGAAGAAGTTATCTCAAGCATTTACTTCTTAATGGTGATAGGAGCACTCCTCCTTAAAAAAATGTTGTCAGGAGGAATTCCATACAGGATGCTACCCCTCCATCAACTGGGGCTAAAGGCTTGCTGAAACAAATCAGATTTCCGTTGTTTGTGGAAGGCCAACATGGCAAGCCCTGCATCTACCTCTGGGGGGAGAGTGTTCCAAACAGCGGGGCTACCATGGTAACATTGTGCCATCAAATCCACCCCCACATATTTCTCTCGGGGTGGGAGCAGTATTCTCAGCAGACCCCCCTCAAAATAGCCAGAATGGGTCTTCTTCTTGGGCCTCAGGCCTTTGACAGAACATTTTGTCCCTGGTAAGGTCGGACCTGTACTGTATTTTGCAGACTCCAGAAGCGGAACTCCTCAATGCTATGAAGAAATTAACAGTCAGAAGGACAGGATGGGTCACTGTGGCTCTACTGCAAGAGGATACCAGAGCTGTCAGTGGCAGTATGTTGGCACACAAGCAAACCTAACTTGATCAAGTTTCTGCTCTGTTACTGTTGTCATTCTCTTGAACTCTCCAAGGGTTATGCTGTTGCATAGTTGTACAGTAATGAAATCAAGCTGTTGGGTTGACAGGGTGGAAAATGTATTGGTTAGGAGTCACAATTAGTCAAATACCAAAACAATACTAATAATAATGGAGGAGCCCTTGAGGATCCAAGCCAGAGGCACAGAGCTCCCGTCACCCTGGAGATAGCACTGCCTCCCATCACCAGCATAGCTGGTGTTGTATATATTATTTATGTATTTATTAGATTTTTATCCCGCCTTTACTGTTTTTTATAAATAACTCAAGGCAGTGAACATACCTGATACTCCTTACTCCTCCTGTTTTCCCCTCAACAACAACCCTGTGAGGTGAGTTGGGCTGAGAGAGAGGGACTGGCCCAAAGTCACCCAGCTGACTTTGAGGACTGCTGCCTGGATTCAAAACTGACACGAAGCAATGATACAGTGTCCTTGATTTTGTTTTAAGGTGTTGCGTGAATCCTGCTCATTTTACCTCTTTCTTTGATCTGCTGCCTTAATTTTGTATAGGGAATTCCTATTCACCTGTAAGGAAAAGCAGTGGTCACCGATTAGGTTGAGTACAAATAATCGCCAGCGAGTCGATGTTTATGCTGTTCTCTGCCTCCTGAGTTTTAATATTTTGGGGAATAGCCAAAGCCTTTATGGAAATAAAATCAAACCAAGAGTCCCAGCCAGCCCTCAAAAAACATCTCCCAAATCATATTGCTAACATTTGGGAGTGCACATTTTGAGGGTGCATCTTTCCCATCCATGTCTACTCTTAATCCTCTTACCTCTTCCCCAAACCACAAGAAACAGTCATCTATTCTTAAACAAATCGGGATTAACCAAAATAACAACAACGAGTTCACCTATTCCCAACCAAATCAACTGTATATTGGCTGAGGTTAGAATATTTGTTCTTCAGGACATCTGCTGTCCTGTGAGTGTGAAACTGTGCTCCACTCTCAGTTTCTTTATATTCAATTTGCAGAGACCTTAAGTGTGGCAAGCTGGTCTGCGAATATCCAAACAGAGTGCCTTTCTTTATGGAAAATGCGGCCATCATTTACGCAAAAGTGCAGAATCGCTTATGCGTCACTTTAGATTACATGAAGGGGCCGGGAGTGAAAGATCCATTTCTGGTTCGCGATGGTACTAGCTGTGCAAAAAACAAGGTAAACGTTTCAATTTGGGGTACAAAAACAATCGGATGTATCTGATTTCAGGTCTGATCTAGGGGCCTATCACAGTGGATCACCTATTCAGCATTGTTTTGGTCCAGTCTTGCTCCTCTACCCCAAGGGGATCCAGAAAGTCAAGACTGTGCCTTGCCTTGGTTGATCGAAGCAAAAGCTTTGATTGTGCAGGCAAGGCTGCCATATTGCCTTTTTTCACACACACACACACACGCACAACCACACCCACCCTGTGGACATCACCACCCTTGCCGCTAGTATTAAATGACGTTCCAGCTCTGAATGTGTAGATTTTATTTAGCTGAATATTTTGTATATTTATATCCTCCCTTAAGGTAGCATCGTCTTCCCTTCTAAACTAGCAATCACCTTTATATTACGGCTAAAGTTCCAAAGTTTTATTCTGAGGGTTCAAAACGTTCTGGTTTCATGCAGTTAGTGAACTCAGGCAATCTAGTTTATTTATTATCTTATATGCAATGATCCTAGGCAGGTCACAACAAAACCCACACAACAGCAATAAATCCGTCATACTACCTGTACGAAGGAGCACCACACTCCCTGCCCTGGTGCGTTACATCCATCAGTTGTGGGCTCCTCCCCTCCCTAGCCCAGTGCCTAGGGGAAGAACCAGGTCCTCACCCCCTTTGGGAAACCTAAAACGGGAGCAGCCCTCCAGATCTCAGGGGGGAGGCTGTTCCAAAAGATCTGGGCAGCTATGGAGAAGGCACCCTCTGATAACCTGGCCTTGTGCCATTCAGGGCTTTAAAGGTGACAACCAGCACCTTGAATTGCAACCAGAATGGAAATTGCGCAGCCGTGGTGTAAGATGGGCAGGCTGAGAGTCTAGAACTGCACATGCTGCTGCATGCTGAATCAGTTGTAGCTTCCAGGTGGTCTTCAAGGGCAGTCACATGTACAGCGCATTGCATCATGCAGACAGGAAGTGACTAAGGCATGAGTGACTCCAAGCAAGGCCTCCTGGTCCAGGAATGGGTGCAGTTGGCGCATAAGATGAATTTGTGCAAACAACCCCCTGGACATATATTGAATAGGAGAGTTGAGAGACCCAAGCCCTGAGGCTTCTGACATAAGAGGGGCCTAGGGCTGGACCTCTCCCACCCTACCAACACCAACTGGAGCCAGCCATGGAGGACAGAGGACAACCACTGCAAGCAGTGTCCCCCATTCCCAACCCCTGGAGCCAGTTCAGAAGGATACCATGATCAATGGGTATTGAAACCTGCCGAGAGATCCAGGAAGGGCTAGGATGGACACACCCCCTCCATCGCAAGCCCTCCAGAGGTCATCCACAAGTGCCTCCAGTGCTGTCTCAGTACTGTAACCCCACCTGAACCCTGACTGAAAAGGGTCCAGATAATCCACTTCACCCAAGGTGTTCCGAAGCTGGACACCTACCATCCTCTCAACAACCTTCCCCAGGTTGGAGACTGGATGAGAGTTATTCAGTACTGTCAGGTCTGAGGATAGCCTCTTGAGGAGGGGATGCACCACTGCCTCCTTCACTCCATCCTGGAAGAAGGAATTAACCACTGTTTGAACCCAACCACCTGCAACTTCTTGGGAGGCCTTAACCAACCAGGAGAGGCATAGGTCCAGAATACAAGTGGCAGAGCTCACACCAACAAGACCTTGTCCACTCCTCGCAAATAACCAAGCCCAGAAGTGCCTCGGTCACTTCCACAGGACCTGCCCAGCAGAGTCCAATGCTTTGTCTGACAGGTGCCTAGAATAGTCCTCACAGAGGCCTTGCAAGGGCTTACCCAGCATCTTCTGACCCAGAAGGGCTCACCCAAACAGGTGTGGGTGCCTGGCTATCTTCAGACGCAATAAGAACAGAGAAGTAAGCACAATTTACTGCTCTTACCACCATGAGGTAACTTCTAATAAAGGCTCTTACCTGTGCCTGGTCAGCTTCATCCTTTGTCTTCCTCCAGCAGTGCTCTAGGCATCTCTTGTAATATTTCATCTCCCAGGGCAACTCTGTAAACCAGGGCACCCCATGGGACCTACCATCATGTGCAGAGAACGCACACAGGCACAATCTGATCCAAGGCCCTTGTTGCATGCTTATTCCAAGCTCCTACTAAGGCCTCAGCTGAACCATTTAATCATGATGTTGAATTAATTAACACCCTCTAAATCATTGTTTTTCAACCTTGGCAACTTTAAGACGTCTGGATTCCAACTCGCAGAATTCTCCAGCCAGCATACCGGCTTGGGGATTCTGGGAGGTGGAGTGCAGAAATCCTTTAGATGTCTCGGGGGGGATAAAAGGCTTCCAAAAAAA